AATAGAGGAACCTATCGGGACATGCCTTAATTCGAAACTCCAAACTAACAGGATATATTCTGAATACGATACTATAGCTGCAATACCATCTGTGATATGCGGGCTATATTCTCTAATGCTATTTTTTCACGTAAACATCTGCCGATTTCCATGATAAGCTATTACTTTAAAATCTGTCTGCAAACAGTTGCCAAGCAACGAAATCGACAATCACTAAGCCACACAGAATAAAATACAGAAAGATAAATTAATCTCTGTCTAGATGTAGTTACCATCATACCTATTAAACAAAACTACAGTCACACACACACACACACCATGAAATTTAACTGTAGTCACTTATACACTTCATAAATATAACTATGGTCAGATACACACCTACTAAATATAACTGTAGTCAATTACACACCTTCTAAATATAACTGTAGTCACTTATACACTTCATAAATAAAACTGTAGTCACATACACATCTACCCGATATAACTGTAGTCACATACACACCTATTAAATACAACTGTAGTCACACACACACCTACTAAATATAACTGAAGTCACATACACGCGTATTTAATATAGTTTTAGTCACATACACACCTACAATATATAACTGTAATCCCATACCTACCTACCAGATAAAGCAATAGTCACATACATGCCTACTAAATATAACTGCACTCAATATATACAAACTAAATATAACTTTCGTAAAATACAAACCTAATGAATATAACAGTAGTCACATACTCACCAACTACATATAACTTTAGTCAAATACAAACCTTATAAATATAGCTGTAGTCACCTATACACACCTTTTAGATATGACTGTAGTCACATATACACCAACGTAATATAACTGTAGTCACATATACACCAACTTAATATTACTGTAGTCACATACACATCTACCCGATATAACTGTAGTCACTTACACACCTATTTAATACAACTCTAGTGAAATACACACCTACGAAATATAACTGTAGTCAAATACATACCTAGCAAATATAACTGTAGTCACAACCACACCTAGTAAATATAACTGTAGTCACATACTCACCTATTAAATACAACTGTAGTCACATACTCACCTAGCAAATAAAACTGCAGTCATATATTCAACTACTAAATATAACTGTAGTCACAAACACACCGACTAAATATAATTGTAGTCACATACACACCAACTAAATATAGCTGTAGTCACATATACACAAACTAAATATAATTATAATCACATACACACTTACTAAATATAACTGTTGTAACATACACACCTAGTAAACATAATTGTAGTCACATACACACCAATTAAATATAGCTGTAGTCACATATACACAAACTAAATATAATTGTAGTCACATACACACCAACTAAATATAACTGTAGTCACATACACACCAACTATATATAACTGTAGTCACATACACACCAACTAAATATAAATGTAGTCACATACAAACCTACTAAATATAACTGTAGTCACATACTCACCTAGTAAATATAAATGTAGTCAGATACACACCTAGTAAATATAATTGTAGTCACATACACACCAATTAAATATAGCTGTAGTCACATATACACAAACTAAATATAATTGTATTCACATACACTTACTAAATATAACTGTTGTAACATACACACCGACTAAATATAATTGTAGTCACATACACACCAACTAAATATAGCTGTAGTCACATATACACAAACTAAATATAATTGTATTCACATACACTTACTAAATATAACTGTAGTCACATACACACCTACTAAATATAACTGTAGTCACAAAAACAACTACTGAATATAACTGTAGTCACATACACTCCTACTGAATATAACTGTAGTCACATACACACCAACCAGATATAACTGTAGTCACATACACACCTACTAAATATAACTGTAGTCACAAACACACCTACTATATATAACTGTAGTCACATACACACCTACTAAATATAACTGTAGTCACATACACACCTACTATATATAATTGTAGTCACTTACACACCAACTATATATAACTGTAGTCACATACACACCAACTATATATAAATGTAGTCACATACACTCCTACTGAATATAACTGTAGTCACATACACACCAACTATATATAACTGTAGTCACATACACTCCTACTGAATATAAATGTAGTCACATACACACCAACTATATATAACTGTAGTCACATACAAACCTACTAAATATAACTGTAGTCACATACAGACTTACTAAATATAACTGTAGTCACATACACACCTAGTAAATATAACTGTAGTCACTTACACACCAACCAGATATAACTGTAGTCATATACAAACCTACTAAATATAACTGTAGTCACATACAGACTTACTAAATATAACTGTAGTCACATAAACACCTAGTAAATATAACTGTAGTCACATACACACCAACCAGATATAACTGTAGCCATATACAAACCTACCTACCTACCAGATAAAGCAATAGTCACATACATGCCTACTAAATATAACCGTAGTCACATACACACCAACCAGATATAACTGTAGTCACATACACACTTACTAAATATAACTGTAGTAACATTCACTCCTACTAAATATAACTGTAGTCACATACACACCAACTATATATAACTGTAGTCACATACACACCTACT